AATTTTGACAAGAGAGGGACAGAGTGAAAAAGAGAGAGGGGGGAAAAGTGAGAAAGCAAGCCACTCAATCTGGGACTTGAACCACGGTCAGCCATGTGGGAGTCCAGTACCCTTAACCACCACACCACCTGCTGGCCCCATAATTGCTGGAGGATGTGTGCACTTGCCAGAGAGGGTGAAAAGACAGAGAGAGGGAGAAAGCATCCCTCAGGTGGGCCATGGTCATCCCACAGTCCCTTTTCCTCTATTTCTCCATCCTGTTGGGATCTTGGGCATGTACACACACACATGCTTACTGTGTTCAAGTTATTAGGGCCAAGATTCCAAACCATGGTCAACCATGTGATCCATTTTCCCTAACTATTAGACTATAAGGCCAGCCCTCTAGAGTCTCATTCTTTTTTTTTTGGTTTTTAAGGAATTATTTTTTAACTTTATTTATTTATTTTATTTTTTAATTTGACCAGAGTGGGACAGAGCAAGCAAGAGAGAGAGAAAAGTGAGAGAGCAAGCTGTTAGGTCTAGGATTCAAACCACAGTTAGCCATTTGGGAGTCCAGTGCCCTTAACCACCATACCACCTGCCAGCCCCTAGAATTTCATTCTTTTACTCATTTATTTATTTTATTTTTTATATTACTTTTTCTTTTTTTTTCTGAAGAGATTTTCACTATAGGGCACGTGTGCTCGCCAAACAGAGAGAGAGACATAGGGACAGAAAGTGAGAAATCACCCCCCAGGGGGGATGGCCACGCCGCAATCCCTTCTCCTCCATTCTCCTCTCGGGATCTTGGGCACGCACGCACACACACCCGGCGTGAGTTTTAAGCCACTGGGTCCGGGACACGAACCGCGGTCAACTACGTGGGAGTCCAGCGACATAGCCATTATGCTAACTGCTGATTCCCTTATATTGCTTTTTTAGAGAGATATTTTGGTTATAGGGCATGTGCACTTGCTGGAGAGACAGAAAGAGACAGAGATATAGAAAGCGAGAAATCACTACCCAGGGGGAATGGCCATGCCACCATCCCTTCTTCTTCATTATACTCTTGGGATTTTGAGCACTCATGCACATGTACCTGGCGTGAATTTTAAACCACCAGGTCTGGTATTTGAACCGCGGTTGACTACATGGGCATCAGCAACATCACCATTACACCATCTGCTGATCCCTACACAAGCACTTTCTATCATTAAAAGTATATGTGTACATATTTAAGATGCTTAAAACAAGGACCTGGGGGTGATTTCTTTCTTTCTGTGTCTGTCTCTCTGTTGAGTGCATGAGCCATATAGCAAAGACCTCTCTCTCTTAAGAAAAAAAAAAAGATGCTTAAAACAGAACCTCTCAAAGAATTAGAACACACAGTAAATTTTAGTTTACTAGGAATGGAAGTTGCAAACCAATAAATAGCTTTACTTATCTGCCTCCCCATTTTTTTCGTACAATCAAGTTTTAATGAAGCAGCCTCTGTACATAGCTTTCTGGGCTCCACCATCCCCTTTTCCTTGTCTTATATACTTGTCTATTAACATGGTTAACAGAATCTTATCTTAATTAAATATTTATTTCATATTTTCCTGCAGGAGGTTGGAAATCTTTATGACATGTTCCACACACGCAACTCTTTACATCGAAGAGCTTATCAGCACAAAGTTGGTAACATCATTGATAAAATGTAAGATTTTTTTTTTTCTTAGCTTTTGCTATAGGACATGTGTTCACCAGAGACAGAAAAAAAAGAGAGTGAGAAATCATCCCCAGAGGAGATGGCCATGCTGCAATTTCTTCTTCAGTCTCTTCTTGGGATTTTGGGCACACACTAGCATCCAGCAAGATCCTCAAGCTACCAGGTCTAGGAATCAAACTTGGCCATGTGAGATCTAGCACCTTAAACTTCTTTGCCACCTGCTGCTAGCTCAAAATGTCAAACTATAAGAAATTTGACTGTTATTTTTCTATAAAGTTTTCCATTATACTTTACTGATATATCATACTTAGGTCAAACTGAGATTTCTAGGTATATTCAAGTGAATTTTAAGTGACTAGGCCTTTTTTTTAAATTTTGCTGGAGAGTACATACACCTGCCAGAGAGGGAGAGAAAGCACCCCCCATGGAGAATGGTCACACCACAATTTCTTCTCCATTTCTCTATCCTGTTACAATTTTAAGTGTACACACATACGTGCCCAGTGTGTTTCTCCTGCAGGGAACCCTGGGGTTGGCCAAGTAGGATTTAGCTACCTTAACCACCAGGCCACAAAGCTGCCCCTATCACAGAAGTAGAAAGATTTCCTTGAGTAAGATAGAAAGCAATCGGGGCCAGCAGGTGACATAGTGGTTAGGGGTGCTGGACTCCCACATGGCCAACCACGATTCAAGTTCCAGACCTGGCAGGACTTTCTCATTTTCCCTCTTTTTTTATCTCTCTCTGTTCCTCTCTGGTCAGATTAAAATAAATAAATAAAGTTAAATAAAATAATTCTTTAAGAAAAAAAGAGTAAAAATAAAAGGGAACCAGCAGTTAGCGTAATGGCTATGTCGCTGGACTCCCACATAGTCGACCGCGGTTTGCGTCCCAGACCCAGTGGCTTGAAACTCTCGCTGGGCGCATGTGCATGTGTGCCCAAGATCCCGAGAGGAGAATGGAGGAGAAGGGATTGCGGCGTCGCCATCCCCCCGGGAGGGGATTTCTTGCTTTCTGTCTCTGTGTCTCTCTCTGTCGGGCGAGCGCATGTGCCCTATAGCAAAACCCTCTCCAAAAAAAGAAAAAAAAAAGAAAAGAAAGCAATCAATATTCAAAATTTCTCATGAGCATTAAACTTTTATGGAATCATTTTCAGGATTACAGATGCTTTCCTCAAAGCAGACCCCTACATAGAGATTATAGGTTCTGAAGGGAAAAAATATCACATTTCTACAGCAATTGATGACATGGAAGCCTTCACTAAACTGACAGGTAAGAACTAAAATATAACAGAGATAATCCATCTCAGATAAAGTGTTGGATCATCAGAAAAGTCATGACATATTTTTGCATTTAGAAACATTGAAAAATACTTCATGACTTTTCTGACAACCCGGTATAAGCTAACCCTGAATTGCAAATGGGTTATTTTTCAATGTTCAAATGTATTTAAGTTCAAAAGTGTTGCTATGCATTTGGATTTGAGTTTTATTTCTGCCTTCTACTAACAAAACGACCTTGATAAAGAGATTTAACCTCTCTAAACCTTAGTTTTCTCATCTATAAGGTAGAGGTAAGGATACTTAACATATAATTTTGTTGTGTTGCTTACATGAGGCATAGCTCCTACCATAGGCCTGGCACAAAAGTACTCAAATGCACTATTATTTCATTTATAACACAGCTGGACTAATCCAGACAAATGCCAAAAAAAAATCCTGACTTGTCCTCTTACTTTTATTTTCATTGCAAAACACAGGATGATAGGAACATCTTTCCACACTTCTGCAGAAACAAAATTTGCAGCTTAGGGTGGGAAGAAAAGAAGAGAGGTAAAAGTATAGCAGTTAACTCCTTTTTTAAATTTATTTTTATTTATTTTTTATTTATTTAATTTTTATTGTTTTTAGATTTTTGCTACAGGGCGTGTGCACTCGCCAGAGAGAGACGGAGAGAGGGGAAAGGGGAAAGTAAGAAATCACTCTGCAGGAAAGATGGCTATTGCAGCCATTTTTCCTCGGTTCTCATCTCAGGATTTTGGGCTTGCACATACTATATGTAGCAGCATGTTTTTTTTTTTTTTTTTTAAATATGGAACGCTTCACGAATTTGCGTGTCATCCTTGCGCAGGGGCCATGCTAATCTTCTCTGTATCGTTCTAATTTTAGTATATGTGCAGCCGAAGCGAGCACTACGCAGCATGTTTTTCAAGCTGCTAGGGGGACCAGCAAATGGACCCCCACGTGGCTTACCATGGTTCAAGCCCCAGACCTGGAGGCTTGAAACTCACACCAGGCACATGTGCATGCATGCCTAAAATCTTGAGGGAAGAATGGAAGAGAAGGGATTACAGCATGGCCATTTCCCTTGGGAGTGATTTCTCGCTTTCTGTCTCTGTCTCTCTGGCAAGAGCACACACCTTATAACAAAAATCCTTGGGCCAAAGGGTTTAAGAATTATTTATTTAATTTTACTTATTATGATTATTTTAAAAATTTGCTACAGGGCATGCAGGCTCACCAGGGAGAGAGGGAAAGTGATAAAGCAAACTGTCAGGTCTAAGACTCAAACCACGGTCGGCCATGTGGGAATCCAGTGCCTTAACCACATGCCACCTGCTGGCCCTGCAGTTAGCTCTTTGATGTGGGAAAGTATAGATAGAGAAATGAAGATCAGTGAGGCAAAAGGAGTAGGGGAAAAAAGTACATACCAGTCAGAGTTCTCAGTTGCAAATGATGAAACTGTTTAAAAATAAAATTAAAAAGCAATCACATAGCTTACAGAATCAGTGTTAAGGCTGGAGGCTGTGAAAGTGGCAAAAACAGTAGAAACTAAGTGGCCTGAGACACAGCCAGATCATTGCAGCAGCATCTTGCGGAGGGTACTGCCTCACTCTGATGACCTGTCCTCGCTAGTTTGCAGCACACTGCCGGAGTGAAACTTGAACCAGTTCCTCATACTATCTTTGAAGACCAAAGTTTAGACATTTCCAGCCCTGGAAGGTTGATACTTCTGTCAAATACAATAAAAATTATTAATACTCATGTACACGAAGACATTTCAGTAACTATAGACCACATATGTGATGAGAGTCTTATAAGATTGTAATCGAATTCAAACATTCCTATCACCTAGTGATGTAGCAGCTGTCAAAAAGTAATAGCACAGTGCATTATTCATGTGTCTGTGGTGATACCGGTGTAAACAAATGTACTGGGCTGCCAGTCATATAAAAGTATAGCATATACAATTGCATGCAATACATCATAATTGATAGTAACTCACTATGCTACTGGTGTATGTATTTACTATACTCTTTATTACTTTAGAGTGTGCTCCTTCTACTTACTACAGAAAAAAGGGGGGAGGGACCAGCAGTTAGTGTAATGGCTATGTCACTGAACTCCCATGTAGCCAACCGTGGTTCGAGTCCCGGACTCAGTGGCTTAAACTCATGCCAGGCGCATGTGCGTGCATGCCCAAGATCCCGAGAGGAGAATGGAAGAGAAGGGATTGCAGCGTGGCCATCCCCCCTGGGGGGTGATTTCTCGCTTTCTATCTCTCTGTCTGTCGAGCGCGTGTGCCCTATAGCAAAAATCTCTCCAAAAAAAAAAAAAAAGTTTGCCATAAAGCCTTCTGCCCAGCCGACATGACACAGTCCCTAGCTTACTGGACTGCAGCGTTAGACACCAATGGCAACCATAGATTCAGATACTTGGGTCAGCCTGAGAACACATTGGGCACATATCCATGTGCCCAAGATCTTGAGGAGCTGGAGAGCTAAGGGAAGGGAATTACAGCCTGACAAGGCCCTGTTAAGAGGACTTTCTGCCTCTCTCATGTACACTTAGGCTCTCAGTCATAAAAATCAAAACCAAAACAGCAACAACAAAGAAACAGTATGCTTCATTACATCAGTAGCAGCTGCATACATCTCATGGTGGCAGTTTCTCTTGTGCTTGATCTAATCTTCCATTGTTTTTTGTCCATCATGGTCCCTAAGCAATAGACTATGCTACACTGCCTAGGAATGTAGTAGGCTGTACTGCCTAAATTGTGTAAACACACTCTATGACACCTCATGAGACATTTCTCAGAACACATCCCAGTTATTAAGTGATACATGATTGTAGTATAGAAAACAAACAAAAACTAGTCATAGTAGCATGTGCCTATAACCCCAGCTACTTGAGAGGCAGGAGGATCACAGTTCAAGGCCAGCCTGGGCAAAATAGCAATACCCTCTTTTTTTGGTAAATAAATAAATTAAGTAATTATTATTTTTTTTTTTTGAGAGGTTTTTGCTATAGGACGTGTGCGCTCGCCAGACAGACAGAGAGACAGAAAGCAAGAAATCACCCCCAGGGGGTATGGCCATGCCACAGTCCCTTCTCCTCTGTTCTCCTCTTGGGATCTTGGGCACACACGCACACATGCCCAACATGAGTTTTAAGCCACCGGGTCTGGGACTCAAACTGCAGTTGACTACATGGGAGTCCAGCAACATAGCCATTACACTAACTGCTGGTCCCTAGTAATTAATTTTTAAAGAGGTATTTGCTATAGTGTGCATGCACTCTCTGAAAAGAGAGACAGAAACAGTGAGAGGGAAAGTGAGAAATCACTGCTCGGAGGATAACTATGCCACAGTCCCTTAACGTTCATTCCCCTCTTGGGATCTTGGGCACACACACATATGTGCCCAGTATGAGTTTCAAGTCACCAGGTCCTGGATTCGAACTGCCATCAGCCAAGTCCAGCAATGTAACCACTATGCCATCTGCTGACCCCTACGCCCAAATTTTCCATTTTCCAATTTGACAGAATTATTATTGCATTTCAATAAATCAAGTAACTGGATGGTAGTACAACACTAAAAACCCAATAGTTTGCATGGCAATCCCACCTGGGAAGGTTCCAGGTTCAAGTCCAGAGACCTTCCTGACTACACTAGGCACACATGTGCCCATAATCCCAGTTGGCTGAGGCTAGGGGAAGGGTCACAGCATCAAGACCCTGTTGAGGGTACCAGCAGTTAGCGTAACGGCTATGTTGCTGAACTCCCATGTAGTCAACTGTGGTTCAAGTCCCGGACCCAGTGGCTTAAACTCATACCAAGCGTGTGTGCATGCTTGCCCAAGATCCCGAGAGAATGGTGGAGAAGGGATTGTGATGTGGCCATCCCCCCCCCGGGGGGGTGATTTCTCCCTTTCTCTCTCTCTGTCTCTGTCTTTCTGGCAAGCGGAAGCGTACATGCCTCATAAAAAAAACCTCTAAAAAAAAAAAAAAAAAGACCCCGTTGAGGGTGCTCTCTTTCTACTACATGGAAGAGATAAATAAATATAAACTGTACAAAAAAAAAATGTTAAGGCAAGGCCAGCAGGTGATATGGTGGTTAAGGGCACTGGATTCTTATGGACTGACCGCAATTCAAGTCTCGGACCTGGTAGCTTGCTTTCTCACTTTCTCTCTCCCTCTCCCTCCCTCCCTCCCTCTCTCTCTCTCTTTCTCTTCCCCCACCCTCTATCCCTCTCTAGTCAAATTAAAATAAATAAATAAAATAAATAAAGTTAAATAAAATAATTTTTTAAAAAAACGGCGTGACCATCCCCCCTGGGGGGTGATTTCTCGCTTTCTGTCTCTATGTTTCTCTCTGTCTGTCTGGCGAGTGCACGCGCCCTATAACGAAAACCTCTCAAAAAACAACAAAATAATTTTAAGGCTTTTGCCATAGGCTACATGCGCTAGCCAGACACAGCGAGAGAGTGAGAGGGACAGTGAGAAATCAACCCCCAGGAAAAATGTCCTGCCACAATCACTTCTCCATTTTTGGGGGATTTTGTGCATGCACACACATGCTCCCACCATGAGTCTTAAGCCACTGGATCCACAACTCAAAGCACGTCGGCCATGTGAGAGTCCGGTGCCTTAACCACCATGCCACCTACTGCCCCTACACAAAATGTTTTTGTTTTTGTTTTTGTTTTTTCACAAAATGTTTTTTTAAGTAAAATTTATGGGACCAGCAAGTGGTATAGTGGCTAAGGCGCTGGGGTCCCACTTAAGCAACCACAGTTCGAATCCCAGACCTGGTAGCCTGAAAATTGTGCCAGGTATATGTGCATGCATGCTCAAAGTCCTGAGAAGAGACTAGAGAAGAGATTGCAGCATGGCCATCCCCCCGGGGAGTGATTTCTCTCTTCTCCTCCCTCTGTCTCTGTCCAGCAAACACTTGTGCCCTATGGCAAAAAAAAAAAAAAATTTAAGTACATAAAATTTAAATGACAAAAATTGTACATTTTTAAAAAATGCATTTAGACAATTAATATAGAAATTCCCTGTTACACTTAAAACTTATTTTCAGTCATAATTAAGCCAACAATTGGAAACAAAATAGTGATTCCCCATATTAAGTGTCTTTGTGCACACTGACCACAGCCTATATATTACTTGTTTTTTTGTGTTTCTGTTTTTGTGGTTTTTTTTTTTTTTTTTTTAATTACTAGGCATGTGTGTTCACCAGAGAGAGGTAAGGAGAGGGAAATATCATCCTCTAACAAGGTGTGATCATGCTGCAATCTCTTGTTCATTTCCTTATCTTTTAGGTTTTGGGGCATGTGCTCCCACATGCCCAATATGTTTTTCAAGCCACCAGAGTTGGGGCTTGAACTACAGTTGACCATGTGGGATCCTACTCTAAGCTGTAGGGTAGCCCAGGAACACTGTGTGTGTGTGTGTGTGTGTGTGTGTGTGTGTGTATCACTATTTTATTTTTCTTTTTTTGGAGAGGTTTTTGCTATAGGGTGTGTGCGCTCGCCAGAAAGAGAGACAGAAAGCGAGAAATCACCCCACAGGGAATATGGTCATGCCGCAATCCCTTCTCCTCCATTCTCCTCTCGGGCTCTTGGGCACTTACACACACGCACCCAGCATGAATTTAAGCCACCGGGTCCAGGACTCAAACCGCGGTCGACTACATGGGAGTCCAGCGACATAGCTATTATGCTATCTGCTCGTCCCTATATATATCACTATTTAAGGTACATAACATGACACCTGAGTTTGCTTCTTATTTGTTAATTTATCTAATCCAAGTTAGACTGATGACAAAGTTACAGGATATAGTGTACTTTTCTCTTTCAAAATAACTTATTTATCCATTTAATTCCATTTTTATTATTATTTTTTAATTTGACCAGAGAGAGAAAGGAAAAGCAAGAAAGCAAGTCTCTAGGTCCAGGATTTGAACTATATCACCCATTTGGGAATCCAGCTCCTTTAACCATCATGCTACCTACCAGGCCCAAGGATAGTAGTGTATTTCTAAATTGTTCCTACATTTTATTTGAATTACATTATAGTAAATAAACTAGTCTCCCATTGTTATGTTGATAGGAATGGAAAAGAGATTTTAAAACAAACTTGTACTTTGTTGGCCCATAGGTTAGCAATTGAAGGCACACTTCCTCTGGCAAATAAGTAGACAAATAAATAAAATAAAAATAAGCTTGTAGTTTAATTCCGTTTTCCCATGAACTTGTTCAAGTCACCTGTACTTGATTGGTTTCTCTATCCAACAACAAAAATCTCTAAGTTACATAATTGGAACAATTAAGCAAATTTAAATGTAGACTATGTGTTAGATAATAACTTTATATAGTATTAAGTTTACTGGTATTGTTATGTGGGGTTTTTTCCCTTAATTTGTAATAGAGAATGTGTGCATGTTCAACAGGGCTCAATCACACTACATCCTCTTCCTCTAGTCCTCCAGCCAGCCAAGATCCTGGGCACCCAGCACGTTTTCAGGTCACTGGGTCAGGGTTTAAACTATGATTAATATGCAGCTGCAGGCATGCAGCTTCCAGCTTCAAAATCCTCTATGCTACCACTGTGCCACAGAGGCTGAGCCAAGAATGTTTTTGTTCTTGGGAGACACTTGCTAAAGTATTTAAGGATGGGGGTACTGATGTCTGCAATTTTCAAATGTTTCATCAAAAATTTGCATACACAGCCCCAACTTCAGTGGCACCATTTGGGAAGCTGGATGCCACATGGGAGGCACAGGTTTAGTTCCCAGGCCAAATGAGCATGGTATGCACCTATGATCCTGCCTAGTTGGAAGGCTGGAGCAGGAGGATCGCTGCACAGGAAAATTGTCAAATGTACCTATCTCTGTCTCTATCCCTTTCTCCCCACCCCCTTTTTATAAAAAAGAGATTTTTGCTACAGGGTTCATGTACTTGCCAGAGAGACAGAAAGACAGAAAGCAAGAAATCACCTGCCAGGGAGGATGGCCATGCCACAGTCCCTTCTCCTTCATTCTCCTCTTAAGACTTTGAGCACATGCACACACACATGCTCGGCATGAGTTTTAAACCAGTAGGTCTGGGACTTGAACCGTGGTTGGTTATGTGGGAGTCCAGCAATGTAACCATTATGCCATCCACTGGTCCCTCATTTCAGCCTTTTAAACAGTTTTTCATATTGTTAAAATCATAAGGTGCCTACATTTATGAACTGCTTCTTAAAATCATTTCAGGACTACAACAATATATGTCTTTAAATCTTGTGTTTTGAAATGTAATGAAATTTCATTAAATTGGCAGATAACATTTTTCTGGAGATTTTACACTCTACTGATCCCAGATTGGATGCAGCACGAGAGATTCTAAAAAATATTGAATACCGTAATCTCTACAAGTATGTGGGTGAGACCCAGCCAGTATATCAACAAAAGATTGAAAGGGTAAGTTGAGTTATCAGATACTTCTCCACTAGTGACATCTTATTGTAGTCTCTGGCTTCTAAGAAGAAACCATTAACTCAACATAATACCATGACCTTATACTAAGCCATTTATATTTGTTCTTATTTAATTTTTACAGCAATGCAGTATTCTTAGGTCTGTTTTACAGACAGAGAAACTGAGGTTTAGATGAGATTAATTAACATGTTCGTGGAGGCACACTTGGCCAGAATTCAAAGCCAGGTCTGATTTCAAACCTTTGTTCTTTCATCCAGTAAGTGAGAGTAGGCCTCAAATTTTGGCTAGACCTACGCATGGGAAAATTAAGATAAAGGAGAGGGGCCTCAAAATAAGGTACCTACTTGAGCCTCATTGTGACGGCAAGGACCTGTTTTTGCTCTTTTCTCCTTACACGGCTTATCAGGTTCTCTCATGCCTGTCTTGAGTGCACAGATCTGTTTTCACTTCCTGCTGTTGAAGGAGTTTTATTTTTGCAGAAAGCTGTAACATGAGTCATACTGATAATCACACCTACCTCGTAATAGTTTCTTGGGTTTCACTTTACTTTCTCTTGTTTCACTAATAAGCTCATGCTATGTGTCTTTTTTTCCAAATTGTGAAAATTTTGTCATGAAAATTGATCTATGTAGAGGGTGACTTAGATAGGAGCTATATTTGTTAGGGATATATCTAATCATTTTTTCTTTTTAGTTAAACACCATTTTCATAGAGGGAACCTGTTCATGACACAGACATTTGATGATGCAAACCTAGGGTTCTAACATGAGGAGACTTGAATTTTCCAGGATATCTTTGAAGACTTCCCAAAGGAGATTGCTGATGCCAAACCGACTGAAGTATTTCTAGAAGTTGAACTGACGGCTGAAGATTTTATAGTGGATGTAAGTGATACTGAGTGAAAAATTTTTTTTCCCAAGATAAAGCACTCTCCACCATTTTAGAATTGCAAATAGTTATGGTCATATCATTAATAGAATATTACATAATATATATTTATTTTTAAGGTTTTTAATCACAAAGTAATACATGCTCATTATTTTTGTAATTGCCTGTGTACATACACAGTTGAAAAAATAACTGATATTTTTAAAATTTTGCCAGAGAGAGACAGAAAGATGGGAAAAGCGAGAAAGCCCTTTCTATGGGATGTGGTAATGCTACGATCTCTTCTCCTCCACTTCTCCCTCCCTTAATAGCACATTTTTAAGGGATTATGTTTTAAGCACACATGTCCACATACGTGGTGTGATTTCAAGCTGCCAGGTTGAAGACTTGAATAGTTGACCACGTGGGATACAGCCACCTTGACCACCCCTTCTCTCTCGCTTTCTCACTCTGTTTCTCTCTGGTCAAATTAATATGAAATAAATGAATAAATAAATAAAATAAAATCTATAAAAAATATTTCTAAAATTATTATTTTATTTAACTTTATTTTTTATTATTATTGAATTTGACCAGAGAGAGACAGAGAGAGAGGGAAAGTGAGAAAGCAAACCATCAGGTCTGGGACTCAAACCACAGTTGGCCATGTGGGAATCCAGTGCCTCTAACCACTACACTACCTGTCAGCCCCAAGACTTCAATGTCTTCTTCTATCCTAATGAAATATCAGACAGCTTTCTCACATTTTTTTTCTGTTTCCTATAGGAATTTCTTTTCAGAGTTCTTTTCTGAAATCTCAGGACAGTTTCCCTGTATATTTTTCCCACAAGCTTCTCATTTTTTATTTTCTTTTTTTTTTTTTTCAGTTTTGCTACATTTTAATAGTAGGGTTTTTTTTAAAGGATTATTTTATTTAACTGTATTTACTTATTTATTTATTTTTATTTTGACCAGAGAGAGACAGGGAGAGTGTGCACGAGAGAGAGAGAGAGGAAAAGTGAGAAAGCAAGTGGCCTGGTCCAGGACTTGAACTGCAGTTGGACATGTGGGAATCCAGCGCCCTTAACCACCACGGCACCTGCCAGTCCCTTAATAGTAGTTTTTTACGGGATTATCTTTTAGGTCTTGTCAGTAACATCAAATGAAAGATACTAAGTACTCCACAGAGTACTAAATACCCAAGCACCTTAGGAAATTTACATATGGCGAGAATTCAGTTCTTGCCCCCTCAGGAGTTTACAGTGTGGAGATATGACAACTCTGAAGAGTTGAATGAATAAAGCAGTTTATTAAGATAAATTCTTCATCCCCTAGAGCTATTGGGAACTGAATGATTTTAGAATTCAGAGTTAATCCAGTCAAGATGAAAGACAGGACTAAATTTGGTTCAGAGTTGTTTCAGGCTCATATAATTTTTATTAACATCCATGTAGTAAACAGAATTGACTTAATAGACAACTAAAAGTAAAGACTAGATCTCTTGAGCTGCAAGGGCTAAAATACTTAATTATGGTTATTTTTTTTTTAAAGACATGGTTATCAAGTTAGCATCAGTATTCTTTTTTTTTAAGAAAAGAATTATTTATTTACTTTGATTTATTTATTCATTTATTTTCATTTAAACAGAGACAGACAGACACACACAGAGATGGAAAGTGACAAAGCAAGCCACCAGGGCCAGGACCTGAACCGTGGTCAGCTATGTGTGGGAGTATCCAGCACCTCAACCACCACACCACCTGCTGGCCCAATTATGGTTATTTTAAAAACAAACATAATGAATTGTATGATTAGAGTTATTACACTATTTTAAAAATAGGCCAGGTACTGACACTATATTCCCCTCACGCATTGCTCATTTAAAGTAGTGAGTATTCAGGACCAGCAGGTGGCATGGTGGTTAAGATGCTGGACACTCCCACATGGTCGACCATGGTTTGAGTTCCGGACCTGGTAGCTTGCTTTCTCACTGCCCTCTCTCTCTCTCTCTCCCCCTCTCTCTCTCTCTCTCTCTTTCTCTCTCTCTCTCTCTCTCTGTGTGTGTGTGTGTGTGTGTGTGTCTGGTCAAATTAAAAGAAATAAAGGAATAAATAAAATAAATAATTCAAAAATAAATAGTGAATATTCAAATATGTGGGTTCTATATCTAACCCACAGAAAGCACACCACAAATCTTAAGTTCTGTGTATCAAATATCTACCTCATGTCTACTATGAAAGTTTTATTTATGCCCATTCCATCATTAAATCAAAAGTAATGTAAATAGTCAAATTATTATAAGCTAATGACCTGCATATCTTCATGTGGATGAATGTCAATAATATCTAAATAGGAAATAAATGGCAATCCTGTCTACCTATATTTAAAAAATAGACTATCTTTCCAAATTTTGCATACTCATCACCATCAGATGTATGCAGCTTCGAAGGTTTCACAGTCAGTTGTCAGAAAAACAGCAGTTATTCCTGCAGTATCTCATTAGCATCTGACTCAACTGTCTTTGATTATATGATTTAGAAGACCGATGGGAAACCCATCCAAAAACTTGTGATTATCCTGAGATGGGTTCCATATTAACCCTAGAATCACCATTAGAATAACGAGGTGATGCAGAACAGCTAATCAACATGGCTAAAACTATGCTCACTTTCAGAAAAAGTCTGGTCATCTGGACAATATCACAGCTACAACCCGTGGAATACTCCCACACGGGGCACTGTTCTGGCCAAGGCACGCTATTTCTCAACAGGAAAATTCTCAGAGCAGGGTGAATCGGGGCCACCTCTGAGGACCTTTCATTTCCAGACAGATCTTCTTAGGCAGCAAAATGGGTCCAATTCTTCTCGGAGCAGTTTGATTCCGTCCTACTCACAGAAGTTAACTCAAACCAAAAGAGCATATTGGAGCTAGTGACCAGATGTGTAAGCTCGAGCACATTCTTATTGCTGTATTAATACATTTGCAGATGAACACACTCTACCCTCAGCAGTATTGTTCCAGGAACAGGGTAGGAGTGGTGGTAAATTAGACTAGTAATAGCTCAATTAATTAAAAGTAAGAACATGTCTCAAAATCTGCAATAACCCTGTACCCAAAGGAGTCTTACATGTCAGTGATGTGCTGGACTTTGAAGTCTGTGGTACAGCTTGGCAATGGACTCACTCTGGACTATGACATGTGCATGGCTCGTTTCCTGCCCGTCGAAGGATGACTGTGCTACACAGCTGTGATGGTTCATACTGGGTGGTGAAATTCACAGACGTTCCAGGTTATTCAAGGCAGGATCATTCCTTGTACAGAGTTTGATGTAGATGAAGATACAGTGGTTTCTTGGTCAATAACTGCAATTTCTTTCTTTTAAAGTCAGTGGGTGTCTTATACGGTTCTGCTACAGTTGGCCCAGGTTTAATTCCATCTTCATGAAAGCAAAACACTTGGTGCTGGTAAATCTTTGTTTAGGTTTATAGTGTTTGAATTCAAAGAAGATAGCTGTGCCTTTGGTTAATTTGTCTACATGCTTCTAGAGCTCAAGGTCCACATTAGAATGAATATATGTGTCTTCTTTTCTTGAAACCACAGGAGTGTCATGTGCAGAAGTTAGGTCTATGCCAGTCAGATCCCTTACACTAACTGTAATATAGGGATCAACGCATCTTTCAAACCAATTTTCTCAATTCTGATAGTGAAGAACATCATTCTGGGTTCTGATGGCAACCTTAGTAATAAAGTACCGGGAACTCTAGCAGGAAAAGAATCAGGAGACCCTGCTCTAGCCCCACACTCTTGTTCATCTTCTTCAAATTCCAAATTCTCTTCTTCACTAGGTGCTACAATTCTTCTTAACGGGACAGGCTGGACATCAGTTGGGAATTCTTTATTATACGTAAGAATCTTCTTTAGGCTCGGTTCTAGCTTCTTGAGGTCCTCCAGTTTATATTCTTCTTGGGACTACGTGGACTATAAAGCCACACTTTGGAATTCTAAGCATGTTGCAATTTTGCCTGTGGTTTTCTTTTGTTCTGTGAATTCAGAATTACTGTGTCGAGCTTGGGCCTCTTTTTGCAGTGACTTGCTAATATCAGATACTTGTTTATTGCGTCCACCAGCAGGCCCTAAGAGTCGAAGTCAGCACCTCTCCTAAAACTGGCGCCCCATAACTATTCTTTGCTGAAATATATTAGGTTGTTGGAAAAGTCATGACATATTTTTCTATGTAAAAATGCATCATGGGTACCATCATATGGCATAGCGGTTATGTCACTGGACTCCCATGTAACCGACTACAGTTCAAGTCCCAGACCTGGTGGCTTCAGAATCATGTCAGGTGTATATGTGTGTGTGTGCGTGCCCGAGATCCCCAGAAGAGAGAATGAAGGAGAAGGGATGGCGGCATGGCCATCCTCTTTTGGGGATGATTTCTCACTCTTCCTCTCACTTGTGTCTGTCTCTCTCTCCAGTGAGTGCACCCTCCCAAGACAAAAATTAAAAAAAAATTTTAAATAAAAACCTTTAAAAAATTAAAAAAAGTGTCATGACTTTTCTGACAACCCAATACAGTTGTCCTTGGGCCCACTGGAGGTTCCACTAAAGTAGAAGGATTTTTCTTTTTTTTTAGAGGTTTTTGCTATAGGGCACATGCACTCACCAGAAAGACGGACACAGAGAATGATGATGATATTGAGGAACATCCAGAAGAGAACAAAATTAAACTAGTTATACACGCACAGCATAATTATGTATTTTTTTTGAGAGATTTTCACTGTAGGGCGCGTGCGCTCGCCAGACAGACAGAGAGAGACATAGAGACAGAAAGCGAGAAATCACCCCCCAGGGGGGATGGTCACGCTGCAATCCCTTCTCCTCCATTCTCCTCTCGGGATCTTGGGCACGCACGCACACGCGCCCATTTTAAGCCACCGGGTCCGGGACACGAACCGCGGTCGACTACATGGGAGTCCAGTGACATAGCCATTACGCTAACTGCTGGTTCCTGTCCTCTCAGGATCTTGAGCACACACATATATGCGCCTAGTGTGAGTTTAAGCCACCGGGTCCAGGACCCAAACTGCTGTCAAATACGTGGGAGTCCAGGGACATAGCCATTATGCCAACTGTTGGTCCTGGGTAGAAGGATTTTGTATCTTGACTTCCTGACACTCTAAAAGATTTCTGTCCCTAGAATGTGTTCCCTGGGCTCTTGCCTGCCTGCCTTTGCCCTCAGTAGAAGATACAGATGTGGCTAATGAACATGAAGAGTAATCTTTTTATTTTTAAAATAATTTATTTAATATTATTTGTTGTTATTATTTATTTTTTTAATTTGAACAGAGAAACAGAGGGAGAGGGAAAGTGAGAAAGTAAGTAACCAGGTCCAGGACTCAAAACCATGGTTGGCCATGTGAGATTTCAGTGCCTTAACCACCATGCCACCTGCCAGCCCCAGAGAGTAACTTTATCAGTAACAAAGGCAAATTGATGCATCAGTGAGTAGTTCTGTGACTACAAAACTGGGGGAAATAATAAGCATCACAAAATTCTGTGTGGTGGGCCAGCTAGTGGCGTGGGGGTTAAGGTGGCTGGATCCCGCATGGCCAACTTTGCAGGTTGAGTTCCATAGCCTGTGGCTTGACACACACAGGGCCAGCAGGTGGCATGGTGGCTGGGGTCACTGGATTCCCACATGACTGACCACAGTTCAAGTTCAGGACCTGGTGGCTTACTTTTTTACTTTCCCTTTCTCTCTCTTTGTCTCTCTCTGGTCAGATTAAAAAATAATGATAACAAATGGAATGAAATAAATAATTCTTTTAAAAAATTTTAAAAAGAAAAGAAAAACATGCCAGGCACATGTGTGGGTGTCCCAAAATCCCAAGAGGAAATGGAGGAGAAAGGATTGCCGCATGGCTGTCCCCCCCAGGGGTTGATTTCTCATCACCTCCCTTCTATCTCTTTATCTCTCTCACACTCAGTATGTTGCCCCCAATGTATCTCTCAAGCCATCAGATCTGAGGCTTGAACAACCCAGATGGCCACATGGACTCCAGCGCCTAATTCACCATGCCACCTTCTGGCCCCTCTTACTTCCTTTTCTTTCTTTCTTTCTTTTTTTTTTTTGGAGCAGGCACCTAGAAAGAGAGGGACAGAGAGACAGAAAGGGAAAAATCATCCCACGGGGGGATGGTCACGCCGCAATCCCTTTTCCTCCATTCTCCTCTCGGGATCTTGGGCACTCACACACATGCGCCCGGCATGAGTTTAAGCCACTGGATCCGGGACTCGAACCACGGTCAACTACATGGGAGTCCAGCAACATAGCCATTACGCTAACTGCTGGTCCCTGGCCCCTCTTACTTCTTAACAGCCAAACTTCTTTTTATTTTCAAATTATTAATTTATTTAACTTTATTTGTTATTTTTAAAATTTGACCAGAGAGAGAAAGGGAAAATGAGAAAGTAAGCCACCATGTCTGGGACTTGAAGTGTGGTGGGCCATGTGGGAGTCTAGTGTCTTAACTATCATGCTACCTACTGGCCCCAACAGCCAGACTTCTAAGAGTGGCCTTCTCTTTTTCATTTCTCATTTATTCCTGTACTTTTTTTCTGTCACCATCACTATTACTGAAACTACTCTCTTTAATATCGTCAGCGATTTCAGTCTTACTGAATCTAACAAACATTTCAGGCCTCTGCCTAGAGCTGATTCTTCTCCCTGGGATTCTGTTTCTTCCTACATAGGCCTGGTTAACTCTTAGTTACTTTGAAACGTCATTCCCTCAGAACCCAGGCTATGTTAGAAAGTTACAAAGCACCTGGGGTCTGCAGGTGGCATGATGGTTAGAGGCACTGGACTCCCACGTGGCAAACTATGGTTTGAGTCTTGGACCTAGTGGCTTGCTTTCTTGCTTTCCCTCTCTGTGTCTTTCTCTGGTTAAATTCAAATAATAATAATAATAATAAATAACAAAGTTAAATAAAATAATTCTTTGAAAAAAGTTTCAAAGCACTTTTGCTTTTCCATGAATAACAAAGATGGTTAAATAATTACTTTCATAATTATTTGTTCAACCTCAATCTAGGTCACATGGTCTGTGGGGACTGGGATTATATAAAAATTGTCTCTGTTGTATCTCTGGTGTCTACCAGTTTCTGTCATATAGCAGATAGTGACTTTATACTTTATTTAAGTTGAACAAACAAATAAATTTCCCCTCTCCCTGATTTCAAAACCGAATTTCTATCAGTGGGCAGGAACCAGTTACCTTTTATATATTTTTTTGTTTATTTGTTTTGCATGTGAATGTGTGTGTGTGTGTGTGTGTGTGTGTGTGTGTGTGTGCGCATGGTATTTTGTTTTGTTTTTAGACAAGGTCTTCGTTTGTCACAATCTTCCTGCCTTAGCCACTTGAGTAGGTGGGACCACATGTGCATGCTACCACACCCAGCTCCTTCAGTGTTTTCTCATGTCACCCACCTTGTATGTGAGTTTGCAATCCTCCTGCCTCAGCCTCCTGAGTATCTGAGACTAGAGGAGCCCACCACCACACCCATGGATGGAGGGTGGACGGAGAATGGAGCCTGGGCCTCCCGTGTGTGCTCAGCCTCCCTAGCTCAGTGTCCAGTATATACTACCTGGCCTGGACCCAGAGATATTTTGTTCCATCACAAGCCACCATACCAGTGTGCTCACTTCTGAACCCCAGAGAGCTCTGTTCCATTTCTTGTGATACCCCTATAACTCTGAATTCAGCTCTGATTACTTATTTTATTGCTTTTATTAAGGTTATCAACATGGATTATGGAATGGAAGATAAGAACCCAATTGATCACGTTCACTTCTATTGTAAGAGTGATCCTACCAAGGCAATCAGGATTACTAAATCTCAGGTAACTAACTGCTAAGGGAAAATATACACTCCAGTGGGTTTTGACAGGTCTGTGTAGTACATTTGCATTTTACACGCAGGTTAGGTTTCCTTGTTTTGTTTTTAGGTTCTATTGTAGGGCACGTGTGCTCACCAGAGAGCGAGGAAGGAGGGAAGTGGAGGACATGGCCACACTGCCATCCCTTCTCCAGTCTCCTCTTAGGATTTTAGGCATGCACACACAGGTACCCAGTGTGATTTTCAAGCCACCAGGTCCGAGACTCAAACCATACAGTTAGCCATGCCACGTAGGATCCAGCATCTTAAGCTCCATGCCACCTGCTGGCCTGCAAGTTAGGTTTTAAAGTCAGTGCATACAGTTAAACAAAAAAATGCCTTTTTTCTTTTCTTTTCTTTTCTTTTTTTTCTTTTTTTGCTATAGGGCACTGCAAGTTAGGTTTTAAAGTCAGTGCATACAGTTAAACAAAATAAATGCCTTTTTTCTTTTCTTTTCTTTTCTTTTTTTTCTTTTTTTGCTATAGGGCACTTGTGTTCACTGGAGAGAGGCTGAGAGCAAGAAGTAGAGAGAAAAAGTGAGAAATCATCCCCCATGGGTGGTCGCCACCACAGTCCCTTCTCTTCCGTTCTCCTCACAGGATTTTTGGACACGGCCACACATGTGTCCAGCATGTTTTTCAAGCCACCAGGTCCAGTTCTCGAATGTCTTCGTCTGCCATTTGGGATCCAGCTGCCTTAACTCTATGCCACCTGATAGCCCAAAAAGGCATATTTTTTTTAAATGAAAATATATATCTAGTTTTGTGTAGATGAAACTATCTATTTTTCTGTTTTGTTTTTCAGGTTCTTTCCACAGGGCATGTCTATTTGCTAGAGAGAGACAGAGACAGTGAGAGGGAAAGTGAGAAATCACCCCCTCAGGTGGGATGGCCATGCTGCAATCCCTTCTCCTCCATTCTCCTCCCAGGATTTTGGGCACACACACATACACACCCACATGATTTTCAAGCCACCAAGTTCAGGACTTGAGCTATGATTGGCCATGTGCGAGTCTAGTGCCTTAACCACCACAAACCTGCTGGTCCTATGGATGAGACTGCCCGAACAGCCAGTTTTTTCCTGTTTGGTAAACATTGAAGAAAGCATATTTTGTTTTTTAAGAATTATTTTATTTAACTTTATGTATTTTAATTTACTTATTTTTATTTGACCAGAGAGGGGCAGAGAGAGAAAGAGAGATAGAGAAAGTGAAAAAGCAAGCCACTAGGTCCAGGACTTGAACTGCAGTCACTATGTGGGAGTCCAGCACCCTTAACCACCACACCATCCACCGGCCCCAAAAAGCATGTTTTCTAATTTTAGAGACCAGATTACAAATCTAGTGTAGGACGGGGCTAGATGGTTGAAGTCATGTAAATTAAATGTGTTTATTCGCATATCTTTTGAGGGCTTATAGTCCATATATAATTATATAATGTAAACCTTCAGTCTTTTATTAATTGACATATAACTGTGACATACATTTTGCAGCCTGAAATTATTCTGAATTTTTTATATTTGTGTTACCATTGGGATAAAACAACAAAGCAATGTGGTGGGGGGGGTTGTTTTTTTAAAGATTTTTAAAATTTAATTTTTTATTGTTATTTTAATTTGACCAGAGAGAGAGGGAAAGTGAGAAAGCAACCACCAGGTCTAGGACTTGAACTGTGGTTGGCCATGTGGGACTCTAGCCCCTTAACCACCACACCACCTGACAACCCCAGCAAGTGTTCCTTTTTTAATATAATGTCAAGAATTGTGCTTAGGAGCATAGGGAATTGATATTGCTCTAATGTGTAAATTCAAGGCAATAGCAAAAGTTAAATGTTTTCTTTTTAAAAAGGTTTCACAGCTTCTGCCAGAGAGATTTGCAGAGCAGCTGATTCGAGTATATTGTAAGAAGACGGACAGAAAGAGTTTATTTGCTGCACATCAACATTTCGTTCAATGGTGTTTAGACAGAGAGTTCACCAAGCCACAGGTGGGTAGTCTAATTTTTTTTAAGAATTATTTTATTTAACCTTATTTATTCTTATTATTACTGTTTTCCAGTTTGATCAGAGAGAGACAGAAAGAGAGAGAGGGAAAGTGAGAAAGCAAGCCACCAGGTCTGGGACTTGTACCATGGTAGGCCATGTGGGAGTCCAACGCCTTTAATCACCATGCCTGTTGGCCCCGGTGGGTCTCCTATTAGTCACATAGTTTGTGTAAGTTTTAAATAATGCCATAGAACACATGTGCATGCATGAGAGAGAGAGAGCAAGAGCATGCACACACCCCAGTAGGGCCTGATTACACAACCCTTTTTCCTCTAAATCTCCATCATGATCCTGGCCACATGTGCCCGATATGCTGCCACCAGGGCGAGGATTCAATCCCCAGATGGCCATGGAGGATCTGGCTTCCTCTGCCCAGCTTTTAACTTCCATGGGCCAGCCTGTAGTTTATGCGATTTTTTAAAATTTCTAAGTAAAAATCAAGAGATCTTTCTACCTACTGAAAAGTTCTCATTTACACTGTATTCTTTTGCTCATGGTTTATTTTGAAGATATAGCCTTTCCACTTTCTTTCCTTTTAAAATGTCTGAATCTGTGTCCACCAATGATTTCTACCTACATGAGTGGAGCGAGTACTCTGTTTATCATTTTTGTCCTAATAATAAAAGATAAAATGATGAGCATGTGAACAGGTTTTTGTAATATTTTCACCATATGTCTCATCCAGTCCTCCAGTGACTGAGAGGTGAATCATAATGTACTCATCCTTCAGAGGAGGTTACCGAAGCACCATAGTCAACTTATTTATTAACACAACCCATAAGTTGTTTTTTTTTTTTTTTTTTTTTTTTTTTTTTTTAAGAGAGATTTTTGCCATAGGCATGTGTGTTCACCAGAGAGACAGAATGAAAGAAAGTGAGAAATCACCCTCCGGGGGGGATGGCCATGCCACAATTCATTCTCCTTTTGGAATTCTGGGCACGCCCGGTGTGAGTTTTAAGCTACTCGGTCCAGGACTTGGACCACAGTTGACTCTGTGGGAGTCCAGCGACATAAACACTATGCCATCTGCTGGTCCTGAGTTTTTTGTTTTTCTAATCACTGTTCTCAAGCCTGGTTACTTTAGTTTAGTAGTAAACTATGTAAATTCCCTAGAATGAGAGGAGCTGGAAGAGGACTGTTGGCAAGCCACAGTTACCAACCTTGTGGAGAAGGTTGTGAAAATCATCTCTTACTGGGGCCAGCAGGTGGTGTGGTGATTAAAGTGCTGGACTCCCACATGTCCAACAGTGGTTTGAGTCCCAGATCTGGTAACTTACTTCCTCACTTTCCCCATCTCTCTCTTTCTTGTTCTCTCTCTCTATCTCTCTGCGTTTATGTGGTGAATATGCATACCCTGTAGCAAATTAAATAATAATAATAATGATAAACAAAGTTAAACAAAATAATTTTTTTTGGAGAGGTTTTTGCTATAGGGCATGTGTGCTCGCCAGACAGAGAGAGACAGAGAGACAGAAAGCGAGAAATCACCCCCCAGGGGGGGATGACCACGCCACAATTCCTTTTCCTCCGTTCTCCTCCTAACATCTTGGGCCCGCACGCACACGTGCCCAGCGTGAGTTTTAAGCCACCAGGTCTGGAACACGAACCGCGGTCGACTACATGGGAGTCCAGTGACATAGCCAATACGCTAACTGGTGGTCCCTAAACAAAATAAATTTAAAAAAAAAAAAAAAACTATCTCTGGGGCCAGCAGGTAGCATGGTGGATAAGGTGCTAGACTCCTACATGGCTGACAGTGGTTCAAGTTCCAGACTTGGCAGCTTGCTTTCCTACTTTTCTTCTCTCTCTCTCTCTCTCTCTCTCATCAAGTTAAAAAATAATAGTAATAACAAATGGAATTAAATAAATAATTATTCTTTTAGGAAAAAAATCATCTCTTCCTGATCTACACACAGTAGGTGCCTGGCACAGCAAAAGTGACCCATCAGTACGTGTTGATTGAGTGAATGAATGAGTACAGTAGGCAGGCAGGTGAGAGATGGTGCTCTACTTCCTAAGCTACACTCTCCCTCGCAGCACTATAGTTGCTTTTCCACCATGCAACAGGTGCCGAAGGGAACAAAGCAAAGCGTCAGACATGAAAAAGTAGCTCAGTAAGTTCATACTTTATTAAGTTCCAGAAGGCATGATACAATATGAGTTCCCGTGGGATTTGGAGGGCTGGGAGGACTGTAGGAAAAGCCTCGTGCAGGAGGGAAGATGCATACATCTAGAAGGCTGAATTGTGTTTGGCTGAGGAGGAGGGACAGGGTAAACCTCTTTAGCAATGGGGGCAGCACAAATGAAGACATGAAACTGGAACCAGATGAGAGTATAGGGACGGTGGAGAAAGCTATATGACCAGCATGGAAAATTCTTACCAACAAGTAGTGAGTGGTTAGACAGGAAGAGTAGGCTAGGATTATAGGAAACTCGATGTAATTGGCTAGAAGGACTTTTCTCCTGTGTGCAGTGGGGAGGGAATTATTGGGAGTACTCAGGAGTCACTGCACTGCTGTAATGACTTTCTTCTATGTTTGCTTTTTGAACTGGAGCAAGACCCATGGGATTAAGAATTTTTCTGTCTAAGGTAACTGCTATGTTTCAAGTGACCCTCTCAAAATTCATGCGTGAGATTTGGTGGAGACAAGATTAAGAGGGCAAAAACTTGGGACCAGCAGATGGTGTAATGGTTACATTGCTGGACTCCCATGTAGTCAACTGTGGTTTGAGTCCTGGACCTGGGGGCTTAAAACTCATGTCTACATGTGTGTGTACATGCCTCACATCCTGAGAGGAGAATGGAGAAGGGGTTGTGGCATGACCATCCCCTGGGGGATGATTTCTCACTTTCTGTCTCTCTAGCTAATCATGTGTCCTATAGCAAAAAGCTCTCTCAAAAAAAAATTAGAGGGTGAAAACTTAATGTGATTATATTGTTGTTCTTGCAAAAAGCTCTCTCAAAAAAAAAAAAAAAGAGGGTGAAAACTTAATGTGATTATATCGTTGTTCTGATGAAGCTTAAGGTCATCGGGCTGGGGTCCCAGAACTGACTCACAGTGGGTTGCTAAGGAGGGGGACACACACTCTCTGCTCTGCTTTTACCCTCATGACGCAGCACCTCGGGTCACTACAAGATCACCTCATGTGATCCCTGGGCCTCTTACCTCAAAGCCGTGAGCTGAATAAACCTCGGTTTTTTGGAATTATGCAGACTCAGATATTTTCTTTTATCAGCAACAGTAAGAACTAGAACAGTACTGTAACACCTGAGGAGACTCAGTCACTAAACTGTCTAGCTGCGATGGTTTGAAACTTGGAGAGGCTGACACAGAGAGACAAGAGACTGTTAAAGTTTGGCCACATGATAACACCGTAAATCTATATACATTCTCCCATGGAGTGGGTGTGTCTGCTAGGCCCTGTGTCAGGTACCAGGGATGGAACAGAACCTATGACAGACAGGTCCTCGTTCTTGCTTTCAGCCTAGTTGGGTATAACAAACCCACAAGGAAGCAGCAACTGTTACAGCCTGCACAGTGAGTGCTTTGAGGGGTGGAGTGGGTGCAGCATCCGAGAGCAGCAGAAGGGAAGAGGATGTAGCCTGACGTGGTTAGTCAGAAAAGGCTTGTTTAAAGAAGGGCTGAGAGGCTGAGCCCTGCAGAATGAATGAGAAGGAGAAGGGGTTATCCTTCTCCTGGTAAAGGGCCGGTAGGAAGAGGACAGAGTTGGGGTTGCTGAGGAAGGGCACCATCGGGGTCGGTCAGATGAGAGAAAACATGGCACATTTCAGGAAGGAACAGAGTGCAAGAGGAGTCTGAGGTTGATGCAGATCGTGTAAGCTGAAAGCAACAGGAAGCCTTTGAAGGGTTTTAAGCAGGAAAATGACGTAGTTGAGTTTCTATTTATAAAATTCACTAGAGTTGAAATTAGACCAGGTAGAGATAGGGAAGTTTGATAGAAATAGAGATGAGTTTGAAGACAAGTAATGTTGACTGAGGTAGATGGGCCTTTAGGTATGAGTGTCATGGCCATAGAGCTCATACACTCACCAGAAAGAGACAGAGAGGAAAAGTGAGAAGTCACTCCCAGGGGGATGACCATGCCGCCATTTTCCTCTCAGGACTTTGGGCACACACACAAGTGCCCAGCATGAGTTTCAAGCCCCCGGGTCCAGGACTCAAACCTCAGTCAGCCATGTGGTCCAGCGCCATAACCAGCGACACCTCCTACTTGCTTCCCAGATGGCTGCTTTTAGCAGCTATGTCAGGTCAGCCGGAGTGTGGTTCAACAGAAGGGATTTAACGTGAGGGGCAAGATACAAAAGTTTGGGCAGAGCTAAATGATTAAGCAGAAGACAGACAGCAGCAGGAGCTACTGCCACCTCTAGGGTAAGGGAGACCAAAGGAGCAGGTGGGAGTGCAAGAGCCATGGCCTCCTGAGAAGCTAGAACCACAGGAGTCACAGCCACTGCTGTCCGGGACAAGGGGTAGGGAGAGAATGCCCTGGCTGCTCAGCCCGCCTCAACCCTCCTCTGTCAGAGGCTGTCACCGGCCAAACCTAACTGGAAGCCACTAGGCACAAGAACTGGGAGATTAGATTACAAGAGCATATAGGCTAGACCAGAGGAAGGGCACACGATGGATCTGAGAGTAAACAGGCCAGCGAGTGGCACGACCTCCCACCAGACACATTGCACTCTTAGTACAACAAGGGCTTTCAGAGACACTGTGCCTTCAGATAACCAGAGACTCTCACACAACCTCAAGAACAGTTTAGGATAGAGTCCAGTATTAGAGGACTTTGCTTTTTACTTTTCTGTTTTTTTTTTAAAGGTTTTCTGTTATTTTCATTTTTATTGCCAGAGGGTACATGTGCTCATCAGATAGAGAATGGACCCCACCTCCCCCACCCCCCACCCCATGAGTCATGGTCACACTGTAATCCTTTTTCCTGTATTTCCATGTATTTCCATTCCATGTACCTGGCATGTTTTTTCCAAACCTCCAGGGTTGGGATTTGAACCATAGTCAGCCATATGGGATGTAGCTTTCAATGCATAGCACCTAACTGCTGTGCCACAGCTCAGCCCTAGAGGACCTCACTTCTTAGGCTCTGAGATCGTAGTGTCACTTCACTTTGAGACTTTTTCTCATTTTGAGTAGAGTTGTTCATTTGGCTGGAATCTATGTGGATAGGGTTGGAGTTAAAGCTTTGATTGCTGAGAAAAATTCAAGTGTTGCAGATACATTTGCCATTTGTACACCTGGACCAGATGTTGCAGAGGGGGCCAGGTGAGGGAGGAGTAGGGATCTAGCTCATGCAGCCTCCCTTTCTCAAGCGGGGCAGTTTGTGTCCCGTGGAGGAGGAGGTCATAGAACCAGGCAGGGGAGTACTGTGTGCCCGGAATCCTGACAGGAAGGAAGGAAGGAGGGAACAGGATAGCAGCATGACTGGCCCTGCTGGAAGCGCCTTCTCTCTCTTTCTCAGTTACTAAAGGAGAGTAAGTCCGTCTAGAAGCGCTCTATCTGTAAGACAAAGATATGTGTACCTGAGACTTTCAGAAATGACATGATGGGGCCAGCAGGTGGTGTGGTATTGGTGCTGGGCTGCTACTTGGCCAACCACAGTTCGAGTCCCAGACATGGCGGCTTACTTTCTTACTCTCTCTTCCTGTCTCTCTCTGGTGAGGACACGTGCCTTATAGCAAATTAAATAATAATAATAAATAAAATTCAGTAAATAATTTAATGAAAACTAGGGCCGGCAGGTGGCGTGGTGGTTAGGGATGCTGGACTTCCATATGGCCGACTGCAGTTCAAGTCCTAGACCTGGTGGCTTGTTTTCTCACTTTCTCTCTCTCTCACTCTCTCACTCTCACTCTGTCCCTCTCTGATCAAATTTTAAATAAATAAATAAATAAAGTTAAATAAAATCATTCTAAAAAAAGAAATTATAATTTAATGAAAACTGACTTTTCTCTGTTCCCCATTTTTCTCTCTCTTCCCGATAGGATGGCGATGTTGTAGCCCCACTTATAACACCTCGAAAGAATAACAGAGATTCAGCCCAGACTCCAGCTCGAACCCGTGAAGCAAAAAAGTCCAGAAAAAATCCAGTCCAGCTTTTTGCAGACACCTCAGAGTGACTGTCTGTAATGGTGGTTACAATTAATTGTGCCCTCCCCCAGTACAATTAATTTAGGAAATGGAATCAGAGCATTCCACCAATTTAGTGACAACTAGTGATTTTTATTTTATATTTTAAATGTACATAGTGCTAAAGCTAGACAGTTTTTATTTTCAAAGAAACAAAAAGTGTTAGGCAAATTTTTCTATACATGCTATGAAAAGCATTACCTTACCTATTTTTAATGTTAATCAAATTCTCCTTTAGCAACCTGGGTTTTTTAGAATGACAACTCTATTATCTACTCTGACCTCTTATGACAGATGATTGTTTTTTATCATTATTTTTTTAATTTAGAAATGAGACAAAGGTATAAATTAGAATTAGAAATTGAAATTGTCAGAGCCAGCAGGTGATGTGGTAGTTAAAGTGCTAGACTCCCACATGGCTGACTGCAGTTCGAGTCCAGGACCTGGTGGCTTAAAAGTCAGTCTGGGCATGTGTACGTGGATACGCAAAATTCTGAGAGGAGAAGGAATTGTGGTGTGGCCATCTCCCCAGGGGGTGATTTCTCACTTTCCCTCTCTCCCTCTCTCTTTCCAGCAAGCACACACACCCTATGGCAAAAACAGAAAGAAAGAAATTGGAATTGTCATGGTTAAAACCAAAACATAAAATTCTCACCCCCAAGGAAGTACCCATCATTCTAAGTTCAGGATATTCTCCTCAGCACCAGGAGATAGCATAATGGTTACATTGCTGGGCTCCCATGTAGTTGACCACAGTTCAAGTCCCAGACCTGGCAGCTTAAAACTCATGCCAAGAACGTGTGTGCCCAAAATCCCAAGAGGAGAATGGAGGAGAAGGGATTGCAGCTTGGCCATACCCCCAGGAGGTGATTTTTTTCACTTTCTGTCTCTTTGGTGAGTGCACATACCCTATAACAAAAATCTCTCTTGTAAGAAACAATTTTAAAAAGGATAATAGTCTCCTCAAGTGATCTAAGTGAAGAGTCCTCCCCTCACCCTCCTGGTCCTTGTAAGCTGCGAGGTTGAGGAGAATGGTGGGAGAGGAGGGGCCGGAGTGGACCTTGGCTCTTGGGCAAGAGGCCTGATGAAGTTACTGGAATGGTCTGCAGACTCTGGCCTCCTCTTATGTGGGGCATAAAAACACCTTGTAGAAAACTCTATCCCCCCCAGTTTCACAGGGTTCCCCTATAACCAGTTGTTCTGGGTCAGTTGCAGACTGACCAGGCAGGGGTTTTTGTTGTTTTTGCCAGAGGGCTCTTGTGCTTGCTGGGAGAGACAGATAAGGAGAAAGCGCCCTCTGGTGGGGTGTGGTTGCACCGGTCTCCCCTTTTCCATCTCTCCATCCTGGCAGGATTTCAGGCACGCGTGCAGATGTGCCTGGCACATTTTCCACACCACAAGGCCTGGGGCTGGATCCCATATGGAAGCCTTATAGGATCAGCTGCCTTAACCACCAGGTCATGGGGCTGGCCCTCAACCTGGCAGTTTCTTTTCTTAATACTCAGCAGCCCAGTCCCAGGGGCCTTACCACTATCTAGCCTAGAAAAGGAAGAAGGCCTCCCTGCAGCCTGTTCTCCCTGACTCCCCGGTGAGCTGGTCAGAAGTCAGAGGGTGCTGGGAGCTGGGACTCTGTTTTTGCTGACCCCATGATTTCGATGGGTTTCAGAGCCAAAACTGGACTGCCTGTGCTGGGATTAGGGGCTGCCCAGTGGATTCTGGGTTCGCCTTTGAAACTTGATATTTTTCAGCAGTGGAGTAGGCACCACCATGGTCAAGTGGTACTCCTGTGCCTAGCCCTCCACCACCACCACATCTCCCGTTCTACAGAAACTCACTGAGAACAAAGTCCAGACTTAGAGCCAAAGCTGCTGGTGCCCACAGGGTGCTGAAGGTGCAGGGCAGCGGCGATGGAAGCCATGAGCCCCTACCATGCTCTGGTCCTTAGCAGATGCCTCACTGGCAGACCGAGAGTGAGGTGACAGCACTGGCCACAGGCAACCAGAGCAAGGAGGGAGACTCAGACCTCGGCCAGCAGATACCCTTGCAGTCTCAGGAACGCCGTCACCTTCCACCTTCCACTACGGTAAAGCCAGGTTATGTCCGTCCACACTAGGGGGAAGAATATTTGGAATGTCACATCCTATATTATTACCTCCTCCTTATCCTTCAGTAGAAGTCCAAGGTTGACCGTAATTCGTAGGAGCATAGTTAAAACCCTCTCACTCCCACCATGGTGCTGCACGTGGAGGATGTGCTCACATGGGGGCTCATGGAAGCACAAGTCAGCTGTGGTACTGGGTCACACCTGTCTTAGCCACAGTGCCTCTAAAACATTCAGGGGACAAAACAGGGTCTCAGACTTGGTCAGTCTAGACCCCAGGTCAGGAATGTGTTATTTTTCTGCTAAGAGTGTTTTGTTTCTGCCAGTCTTCCTTTGAAATCATTGTGTGGACGCTGGAACTTTGTAACCCTCGTATTGTATCATTGCACTGTCTGAGAGACCACTTGTCTATTTTGTTGCATCTTTTGATATGTATCAAGCAGCTGCACTTTATGCTCTTTGCAACTGTTTTTATACAAGACCCACATGCCTGTTCATTTAGAAGGTTAAACTTTTCTTAAGAAACCTCTTCAGGGCTTGTATAAAACCAGAGGTTTTAACATCCTAACTACTAGAGTTCCTGAACATCATCACCTTAGGAAGGTAAATAGAACTGCCGGTTAAAATGGTGTTTCAAGTGGGTGGGGAACAGCCACAATAAAGCATCCCAAATATATCCGTCCGGAGCTGGGGTTGTGGTCCTGAGCCACTTTTTCTTCAAGCTGTCCTGTGCCTGATTTTTATCCTCTGTGTTTTGTGTAGGAATCCACCCAAATTTTTCTTAGCACCTCAACACTACCCCAGGCCTGCAGGAGGGGATGGCATTTAACAGAGTTCATGGTGTTTGGTTTTCCTTACTCAGTGGCTGGCAAGTAATAACCCAGTAAAGAATCTTTTCCTCTGGCAGAGGGCAGACCCTAGCCAGCCTGAAAAGGGATATGGATTAACTTTTCTTTGTTTTCTGAACTTCCCTCATACCAGAAAACATATTTCCTCTCTTATTTATTATCTTAATCTCCCTGAGGTTCCCACCTATACAAGTTTCAACTTCTTTGTCTAAAAAATGCATACTGTTCATTTGCTGCTTTCCTGTCTTCCTATGAAATAACAGGTGTGCAAGCACCTGACACACGGGGGCAAACGAAAAGCCCTGGGTGGGCTAGAAGAGGCCACAGGGCAAGAAAAGGAATGATGCGGGAGGCTTTATTAGTGTCGCTGGCTGAGCCCCGATTTCTGAGCTTTGACAATATTCTTGAAATTAAAATAATTTCTGGGGGCCAGCAGGTGGTGTGGTGGTTAAAGCACTGGACCCCACATGGCAAGCTCTTCAGTTCAAATCCCAGACTCAGAAGCTTGAGAAAAAATAAAACTTGCTGAGTGTGTGTGCATGTGATATATGCCCACAATCCCAAGAGAAGGGTCTGCGTCATCCCTGAGGGGTGATTTCTCACTTTCCCTCTCTCTGTCTCTCTCTGGCGAGTACATGTGCCCTATGGTAAAAAATATATACATACATACATACAAATCTTCTAAAGCATACGCAGTAGAATCCCTTTTATTCCCATAGACTTTGTTTTTTACATTTTTTTCTCTTTATCTCATTTTCTTTTATACATTCAATCACATTATTATTTGTCTCACAAAATGGATATTTCAACAAGCAAGCATTCCTCCCTAGTACAGTTGATAAAACTACAAAATATCTTCAACAGACAATACCACATCTCACTGTGCCATCAATGCTTTCCCTCCCCATTTTTCTTCTAAATGTCCTTCCTCCGACCCTCTTCCTTCAGATACACTATATCTGGTATTTACATCTATATACTGTGTTTCTGTATCCTTTAGTCAGTTAGTTTCAGTCATAGAGTGCGGACACTCGGTGTATATTAAGTGGGGACATACAATGTCTCTCCTTCATAGCCTGGCTTGCTTCACTCAGCAGTAAATCTTCCATATTCATCCACTTCCTATCGAAAGCCAGGATTTTGTTGTTGTTTTTTTTTTTATGGCTGAATAGTATTCCATTGAGGGGCTGGCAGGTGGCGTGGTGGTTAAGAATGCTGGACTCCCACATGGCTGACAATGGCTCGAGTCTTGGACCTGGAGGCTTGTTCTCTCTCTCTTTCGCACATGTGTGCTGTCCCTCTCTGGTCAAATTAAAATAAACAAATAAAATTAAATAAAGTAATTCTTTAAAAAATATTCCATTGAGTATATGTGCCACAGTTTTTCTATCCATTTATCTCTTCATGGGCATTTGGGTTGTTTCCATGTCTTAGCAATTGTGAATAGTGCCGCAATATACACCGATGTGCAAGCACTTTTCCTTTTATTAATCTTAGTCATTCTGATTGGGGTTAGGTGGTATCTCATTGTTGTTTTGATCTGCATTTCCCTTACAATGAGGGATATTGAGCATTTTTCCATATGCCTTTTAGCTATTCTTATGTCATCTTCAGAGAGTGGTTTTTTCAACTAATTCTCCCATCTTTTAATAGGATCGATTGTCTTTTTTCGGAACAGCTGCTTGAGTTCCTTGTGAATTCTGGTTATCAGTCCCTTATCTGACGCATAGTTTACAAAAATATTTTCCCATTCTGAGGGCTGTCTATTCACACTAATTACTGTGTCTTTTGCCATGCAGAATCCCATAGACTTTTGTTGTAGGGCTCAGGCGTTCACCAGAGAGAGACAGAGCAAAGTGAGAAATCATCCTCTAGGGGAATGACCACGTTGCAATCCCTTCTCCATCCTCCTCTCTGGATTGTGGGCATGCACTTACATGTGCCCAGCATGTTTTTCAAGCTGCCAAGTCTGGAATTCAAACTACCAAGTTGGCTGTGTGGGATCCAGTGCTTCAATCTCCATATTTATTTTGATCAGAGACAGACAGAGAGGGAGAATGAAAAAGCAAGCCAGTAGGTCCAGTACTCAAACCATGGCCAGCCATGTGGGAATCCAGGAGTCCAGCACCTCAACCACCATGCCACCTGCTGGCCCCACTTTTAATTTTTTTAATGTTTTTTAGTTCCCTCCAATAAATATATTGGGTCACTGGGAAAGTCATGACATATTACATATTTCAGCATAGAAAAACCTAAAAAAAAAAAAAAAAACAAAGGACTTTCCTGGCAACCTAATGTATTCGTTGTAGGATTTCTGAAAAGGTCCTTTCCATAAGAGGCCTGGTGCTGTCTAGGTCAGGCCTAAGTATCTTTCACTCCTCCAGAGTCAGCTCTGCAGGAGAGCAATACCCGCTGCATCCCTGTCTTGGGGCCCCAGGCCACGTAGGTACACATGAGGGCAACTACCACCCAGGCTTCGGACAGAGAGCATGGGCTGCCCTGTTTAAGAAAGGCCTCGACAGCGTCCATGAGCATGTCTGAGCATGGGATTTTAGCCGCAGGAAGCCGCCCACCATAGGGCCATCAGCTTAGAACCCAGGCCTCCACCTCCTGGATGCAGAACTGCTCCTGCCGGGCCAGGACCTCGTTGTTGAAGGTCGCGCAGGGCTGGCTCCCTCCATGATACAAGTCTCCGTCCAGCCACAGTCCAAACTGGCCACTGGAGAGAAGGGGAGAATCTTGTCACAGCTTATCCTGTACACTGAGGCCTAGGGAGCCACCATCAGCAGCCCCTCACCACATGGACACAGCCTAGTTTTGTCAGCGTTTTATCTTCCCTTAAGCCAATTTATCCTGAGTTGCTGGGGACTTACCATACTGTTCACTGTGAGGTTAAGAGTTTTCCTCTTTTTAATAGTTCAATTATTTTAATTAATATATACAGTGGTGTCACTATCATCTCATCCCAGTTTTATAATATGTGGAGTATGGGGTCAGTAGATGGCATAGTAGTTACATCGCTGGTTGTCCATGGTTCGAGTCCTATACCTGGTGGCTTGAAACTCATGCCAGGTGCATGTGTATACGTGCCCAAGATCCCAGAGAGGGAATGGAGGAAAAGGGAATGTGGCATAATGTGGCATGGCCATCCCCCTGGAGAGTGATTTCTCATTTTCCCTGACACTGTCTCTTTCTGGCAAGTGCATGTGCCCTATGGCCAAAACATTTATAATAATAATAATAACAAGTGGAGTATTTTTAAGGTGGCAATGCTTGGCCAAAAGAGCAAATATCATGAGTGTGGACTCTGAGAGTCCAAAACACTTAGGGAGGCATTCATTCTAATTCTCTCATTTGACAGAAAACTCAGGCTAGAGCCAGAAAGTGAATTACCACAAATCAGCAATGACTGATGATGTGTTCTGTATCATGCTCATCTTTTTTTTTTTAAAGAGAGATCTTTACTATAGGGCGTGTGAGCTCCCTGGAGAGACAGAGAGACAGAAAGGGAGAAATCACCTTCCCATGGGGGATGGCCACGTTGCAATCCTTTCTCCTCCTGTCTTCCCTTGGGCATGAATGCACACGTGCCTGGCATGAGTTTTAAGGCACCGGGTCTGGGTCTTAAGCCGTGGTTGACTGTGTGGGAGTCCAAGTGATGTAACTATTATGCCATCTGCTGGTCCCGCCATGCTCCATCTTGATGAAGGCTTTTCAGGCAGCAGGAGAGCAAGGAGCTGACTGGTACTGATCCACCATGCTTTCCTCCTCACCCTGGGACTGAAGGTGAAGGTCAGGCCAGGGGCAAAACCAATTTTTCCCCTTAACCCACTCCTGTCTGCACACACACACACACACACACACACACACACACACACACGCTGAGTTCTGGGCAGTCACTTCCCTCCTCCACTGAGCTTACCCGCTAGGATTACAGGGCCACCTGGGAAGTCTGAGGCCTGCCCATCTCCTGACTCAAGCCTCTCCTCCCAAAGATTCATAAACTCAGACACAGCTGGCACCAGCTGTAAGCACTGTGGGGAGAGTTCATGCACCCTTTCCCCTCCATGTTGGCCCAGAGTGGGGTGGAGAAGTCAGCTGGGGGACTGGGCCCGGAAGTTAGCCACCCGCCTCCCCTATTGTCCAGGCAACCTAACCCAGCAGTTGC